CAAAAGATAATTCTAAGCAAACCCAAAAAGAAAAGTCTGGATATAATATTATCAAGTTAAACACGGTGGCAAAAGTATGTGATAGGTACGGTTTATCGAACAGAGCGTCAGCGGCAATTACCTCAGCTGGCCTGGTTTCAGAGTCACAAAACTAGTGTTATTGATAGAAGTAAGATAAAAAGAGCCGGAACAAAGAAAAGAATAAATCTGCAGAAAAAGGATCAGCAAAAATCAATACGAAGTATATATTTCGATGGAAGAAAAGATTTAACTTTGACGCAAATAACCATTGAAAACAAACAGCACCGAAAGACTATAATGAAAGAACATATATCTCTAATAGAAGAGCCTGGATCGCTCTATATGGGACATACTACACCATTATCTGGTTCTGCAAAAAGTATAACTGACGCAATTTTCCATTTTTTTCAGGATAATCATTACAATTTAGAGGACTTATGTGCGATTGGTTGTGACGGAACAGTAAACACAGGCTCAAAAAATGGAGTAATATCGCAAATTGAAGTTTGATTACAGCGTCCTTTACAGTGGATAATTTGCCAGTTACACAGTAATGAGTTGCCTTTACGACATTTGTTGTACCAGATGTGTTCTGCAATATCAAATGGGGCATGTTCCGTAGATTTGTCTAGATTAGATCCTGGCAAACTAGCACATGCCAGATGGCTGACTGTAGCAAATAGAATTTTAAGGATTTATATTTCGACTGAAGCTCCCAGCTCAAAACTAATAGACCTAACAGAGTTTATTCAAAAGTTTACCTTCCAATGTGGTTTCAGATAAAGTTTAATCCATCTAGTAAAAATGGTGCTAAAAATGTGTGGAATACTATTCAAAGAAGTCGCTACTTAAGAACAGAGCTTAGAAATGTCGTTGATCCTGTAATACAAAGAAATTGCTATTTTCTTCATTCCGAAAACCTTCTTTTATGTATGTTGGCAGATGAGCGGCCTCATGTAAAAGAATTAGGGCTAAGGCGTATATTAAGGGCTCGATTAGCAGAAAATAATAATATTAAAGATAATATAAGAAGTTTTTCAGTTACGAAATTGAAATTTGATGCTGGAGAATATTATATGCTAATTGATTGGCAATCTACGGTAATCACTTATCCACCCATACTTAAGATAGTGATAACCGACTGATAGATATTGTCTCGTTTCCATGTCACACCCAAGCCGTGAAAAGGTGTGTAAAAATGGTCACCGAAGCTTCTTCGAAAGTGATTGGTTTACAAGCTAGAGACGGATTCATTAGGGTAACTTTACAATCAAGAGAATCAATGCCTTCATTTAATACAAAAAATCAATCCAATCAATAAAAGTTTTACGTAAGGGCGGAAGAATAAGGAGGAACTTGTTTAGCAGCCACCTCCAGGTGGTGAGTTCTGGGTTGATTATTTGTTTTAATAATAATCAAGCGAATAGCTGCTATTAGTAATATAAATCACATTTTGTTATACCTAGTAATAAAAATAATTATAATGTAAAAAATTACCGTTAGTAGATCCATTGGTTTAAATTTCTTTTAATAATTGGTAGCGGACAACTAGATAACTTAGGCTTTAAGGGCCGGTAGAGGACAGAAAATATAATATGTTTAAAAAAACAAAATAACAGAGACTACCTGAGCTAAATTGGATAATTTCTTTTGCTATTATAAATTGGAGAAAAAAATACAAAATTTCACCCCCTTTAGGAGGTGGTAGAGGGCAGAAGAATACATTATTTTTAAAAATGCAAAATACTGATGGTTATTTATCACGTGTAACAACTTTTGGTCACTATTTGAATTAAAAAGAAAAAAGTTGTTAAAATCACTCCACCCTAACGTGTATGGATGCAGCCATCAATACTTTCCTGGTATTGCAATAACATGTTATTTTATTTTTAAACTAGTAGTATGCCATAGAAAATTAAACTAGGAACTTGCAATGCACATGTGCATCACAAAAAATACTGGCCGAAAACTTTTCTTTCGATTTGTGGTCCCCACATTATTTTATTAATTTTTGTGTAAAATGCGGTTTATGTTTATTAAAATACTATTTAACTATGTATAATTTTTATTTTCACATGATAACAGATTGTATGTACAATGTTTTTTTACATTTATACAATATAATGCAATTTAACAATATTCTACATATACAAATAAAATATATTTAACAGTAAATCTATCATAAGGTTTTATTGTCTTAATGTAGTTACATCTATTAATACATTTTAAAACTCTAAGCTAAAATGTGTACATTTATTATTTGAGATTTATTGTCTATTAAAGTCAATTGACTAAAAGATTAATATAATGAGATTTAAAGAAACATTAAATAAATAATTCATATTAAAAAGAGGGTTTGCAAGCATTATTCTTCCTTGTTAAAATACACCTGGTATACTAATAAGTATTATTTGATAATAAAATATTTACGTTGTAAAACTGCTTTAAGCATAATGCATGGTAACTTAGTTACTTCAAAGTTTAATAATAATAATAATAATATTTTAAAATTTAAAATAGATTTGAAACCTAAGTTGCAATGCAGGATTTTTAATAATGAAAATATTATATCTTAAAAAAAATAAAATAAATTACATTTTTAACAACTTTTTAACCGATTTGAATTTTTTAAAAGGTTTTATTTAAAAACTGATAAAATCACTAATTTACTAATCTTCTATTTTTTTTAATAATCATGTAAGCATCCATATTGTGATTTTGATTTTAAGTAAACTATTTGCAAAAAATCGATTGTTAAAGTTATCAAAATATTTCTGCAGAAAGATACTCTTGGGGTAGCCAAGTTATTTTTTACATAAAATAACAAAATATTATGACGTCTTAAAAACATACTAAAATATATCAAAATCAAAAGCATAAGTAGATTTTAACATGTTTGCTTTTAAACAACAAAATGTTCAAAATAGAAAAAAAATAAAAAACCTAGTTGTGAATTTCAAATTTACATTAGTTTGCTTATTCGGAATCATTGTAGCAAAACGTTATTAATTTAATATATTAAAAACAACAAATTTGTATAACATAGAGAAAGACAAATATTATATACCTATAACTTTATCTTGCAATATACACCTATATTATAGCAGTGCTGGATTAACCTATAGACCAACCTAGGCCATGACCTTGGGCGCCGAAAAGCCAATAGGCGCCCAGGCAGAATTCTCAATTTTTTTTAAGTAGGTTGAATATTAAAATTAATCAATTAAAATAAATAAATATTTTATAAATTTTATATATAAAAACATTTTTTTAAATAGCAAAGACTCCAAATATAGTATAGTATATAGTTTTTTTGATTTTTGTATGCCTTCCTGCTACCAACTGTACAGGACAAAGATCTTTTTCTTTCTTAAAAAGAATAAAAAATGTTCTACGCAGTTGCCTGGTAGACAAGAAGACTGAGAATCTATGGAAGCAGAAGAAGTCAATAAAATAAATTTTGATAATATTATTGAGTCGTTTTCCGATTTTTAATGCAGAAAAAATTGTAAATCTTCGTTGATAATGAAAAAGGTCTTGTAACTTGGACGCCTTTCTGCATGCAGAAGAGAAATAACCCACAAAAATAAAAAAATCGGGATAAATGGGTTAATTATCTCGATTTTTTTTATTTTTGTGGGTTGGTTTCCTTGTGCATGAAGGCGTCAAAATGACCTTTTGCAGTATCAACGACGAAATGGTAAAATTCGGTTTTAGGTTATTTAAAAATTGTAAAAATTAAGTTCTTTATTGTTTTTTTTCTATATAAAAATAAATTATTTTTTTATTTATTTTATTGTAATTTTTGTATAAAACCCTACTTGTCCCCCTATGTGCACCCCTGTCGCCTAACATGTATTGTGTTATATTAATATCATAGGTACTAACATGGGATGTAATTATAAGCGCCATTATTATTGGCCTAGGGCGACAAATTGTCTTAATCTGGCCCTGTATTATAGGTAGTACATTATAAAATAAAGTTAAGATTTTAATTGTAATTTCAAAGACAAATTTTCACTAATACCTTTTAAAAATAATTATACAATGCATTCAATATATAAGTATTACATACATTTTACACATACATAAATAATGTATAAACTTACAATTTCACTCTCTTGGTATAATATACTTGTGCTCGTGCTTAATTCTATTAGGCTTTATGCCATCACATCTTAAACCAATTATTGAAAGCACTAAAAATATTGTTTTTTTAAACACATTTAAAATTATAATAGTTAATAGTATTTAATATTGGCACAGCATAAAATTTTATTGTCATTTAGTTTTGCTTCAAAATTATACAGGGTTTCCCGAAAATGGTGCACTAACGGTATACCACGCCCCCTACAGCAGTTTAATTATAACAAAATTCCAACAAGATGTTTTTGAGTTATAAGGGTTTAAAATTTAAAGTTTAAATAATTATTTTATTTTTGTTACTTAAAGTTTTTAATATATTAGAACAGAAAACAATTTTTAAATAAGTTTAAAAAATAAAAAGTTACACTTTGTTAATGATAATGATAATTTTAAGTTAAATTACACCTGTGCTTATGCTTAGTGTTTATTAACTCGTCAAAATACTTAAACTTAAAATAACCCCCTTAGAGCGTGGCATACTATTAGTGCGTCATTTTTGGGACGCCCTGTATAATTAGAATTTATTAATTTGGAATAAGGAAATAAGGTTTTGAACAAAAATCTTGTTCTATTGGTTAAATCTATTTTAACGTAATAAATACAAATAAATTTTGGTTTAAAACCTACTTTTCTTTATCCAGGTCTTTCCTGGTATAAAAGACACTTATAATTTTGAAAAACTTTAAACAAAACTTGTTACAAAATCAAATAAATATAGATTTTACATTAATGTAAATAATTTAAGCTATAAATTAAGCCTTACATTTAAAAACAGTTATTTTATGTGTGCTTAAAAATTATCATTCTATTATCCAAAGAATATAATTATATGTTAAATTTTATTTAAAATATATTGTGGTTGTTAGGACAATAATAATTATTGTAGTATAAATATTAATGCAATTATTTATTTCTATGTAATGGCCAACTCTTAATTGGTATAGTACTAGGGTTTGTAACATACTTGCACACTTGCATGATCGCATGTATACAATCACCTTTACGCGATACCAATAAAGAGTTGGCCGTTACATAGAAATGGAGGATTGCATCACATTTCTAAGACCGCCAATCTTTTGTGGAACGCACAGTATACTATAAGTACACAGTATAAGATATGGTAGTATACGTTTATAAATTTTAGTTACTTTATTGTTATTTCAATTTTCAAAACATTAAGAAAGCTTTTAATTTTTTAAGACATAATGAAGATAATATATTATGTTAAAATAAAAGTGATATTTAGTCCTTTATTACTAAATATGGTTGATAGGACCTTTTAACTACTAGGACAGAATATTAGTAGAATTTGTTTTATTTTAATAAAAGTTTTATATCTCTATAAAATTGGTTTTGGCTAACCCAAACGATAAATAAAAGAGATATTTTGTAAACTTTTCGATTGTTTAAGTCATTTTTTTTCCAAAAAGAATGATGGTATCTAAAAATTTTCTTACTCTCTTAACAATTTTTTAAATACACATACACTAATGCCTTTAGACACTACATATATTTAAAATTTAAACCGTTTACTGATATCAGGTTTTTATTAGGAGCAATATGGTTTATTATGTGAAAATATATTTAGTAGGGCAGAGCAAAATATATGATAGTAAAAGTTAAATATGCCTATATTGAAAATAGTGGTCTACCATTAATATGAGTATGAGTATGAGAAACGTATAGCTGTCCCCATCAGCGCCGTCATACTGGTCTCCCAGAGTTATTTTTACTCCTCTTCGGTTCTTCTACGTAACCCGCAACTGCACAGCATTAACTGTGTTTGATGGTTACAAAGTTTAACACCGGTAGGAAGATTGTGGGCGACATCGTCGATGGTTAAGAGCCCTCCCAGGATTATATCGCCGGGCCGGGATATACGCCCGATTAGGCAAGAGGAGTTTGTGAGAAGGAGGAAAAACATTTTGGTTTTGGTTTTCAGGGGACTATACAATGACCCAAAACTAAGTACAATCCCGAATTCCCCTCAACCCAATACCCACATTCAATTGGGGTTTATAAATGGGGTTTGTTTGGTTAATACGCTGTAGGGGCCTAATCGTGCTTCTTAATACTTTTTATTCGTCTGCGTCCGTGTCTGCTAAAAATTACTATGCTGAAAATTCGGAAACCGCTATACCTAAATTTTTTGCCCCACTGTGTGAAAACCGCTTCTTGACTTTAATACGAAGTATTACCGTCCACGACGGGTTGTTCGTGGTACCGCTCTGCCTCGTTGAAAAACTCAACAGCCATTCCAAGCACTGGCTTCAACGAAGACCAATGATGTATGGCCTTTTTAAACAAGCTTTGAAGGTAACATGTTTCTTTTGTTTGGGACGGGGCCTGCTTGAGTAGTTAAGTGATATTTTGTTTAGATTATAGACGTTCGTAAGTTGTCTGGTTTACGTTTGCTATTATTTTATTTTAACATTTTATGTGTTGCAATGGCATTTAGGTCATGCGATTAATTTAATGTACCTACTTGTCAGTTTCTATAGGAGTCTCTTTTTCAAATTTTGCTTTCTTCGGTGATCTTTAGGAATGCTTATCGCTGGCAGGTGGTAACAGTCAAGTACGGGGGTTTATGTCACTTATCCGCTCATCCGTATCTGTAATTTAGCATCATGGTTAATGCACTTTTGGTTTGAATTGTAAGTCTTCGATTATTCTTTATTTACATAAGTGATTGTGTCCTATTTTTAAGAAGCGGACTATAAACACGTCTGCACTGTTCTTGGGTACAATAAATTAAAAAACAAAAATGATTTTGATCCCATGATGTTTAGAGGGTCTCCAAACCTCTTTAAAGTGCAGAATATGAAATTATCGTCTGCACTTAATTGCGGGACCCTCTAATCATTAGCCGATCAAAATAAATTTCTTTTGTTTTAATTTGATTATAATAGACAATTTTTTTTCAAAATGAGCATATTAAATTATTAACATCATGTATTTCGTTTCACCCTAATGTTTAGTTTTATATTTTTGCACTTCTTTTAATTTATGGGCGTCATTATGAACCTAGTGTACTCCCCATTTGTAAAATTATTTACAATTTAGAGCATATTATTTATCTACATAATGAGTTAATAAAAAAAATAGTCCATGTCCAATATCGATTGCCACAATATATCTGTGTATTAAATGTATATTGATTTAATATTATTGAATAATATTATATACAAATTTTGAAAATAACCAACCACCAATTTAAAATAGGCATTAGTTGAGATAAGTCGCAAACGATAAAGAGTTACGGGGTTCCTTTTAAATAAGCGTCATCCAATTATTAAGGCAGTCTTAAAAGTCTACATGGCGTTTTTTACGTAAGGATTTTATCTTAAGTAAGGGTGGAAGCATTTAGATGCCTATTACTCCTTCGGCACGACTCTTTTATCCCGGGGGATCTAGTTTTTAACGTAGCCACGGGATTGACGGTCTTTTCATCTGATGGAAACCAGACTTAATTTTTCAGGTTAATAATTGTAAGAGCACCACTTGACTATCCCTTTTTCCTTGCCCTCCCATATAAGATGTTAAGAGGGGACCTGCGGAACTTTTAATGAAGTATTCCTGTACAACTCTGGACATTCCTAATATGTTATTTGATATGATAGTTGCATAAGTTTATGTTTCCTTTTTAGTTACGTACATATTTTAATAATTACATTTTCAATACATTTGGATGGCTTTTCAATTTTTAAGATATGTGTACCATGTATCCATTTTCTTTGCAAAATATTTTAGCTGTGCTCTTTAAGGTAATTTGTGCGACTTTATCACATTTTCTCAGCAAATTAATGTTTAAATGCTGAACATCGTTGATATATAGATATTTAAGTAATATCTTTTTGTCTTATTTTTGAATAAACTAATAAAAAATAACACTCAATATATATATTATATGTATAGAGGGTAGTTTTGCTAGGGACTAAATATCTTAAACTATCTAGTCTAGATGATTAGTGATCTTAAAAACCATTTTCAAACTTTATATTTTTTAAACTCAAAATTTACAAGTAAACGTTTTAGAATCACAACCTTGTTTATTTTTATTTTTATTATCACATAATTGCAAACTATGTTTCTTGCGTTGAATTCAACAATAAATCTTTAGAGAACACTTTAATTTCTGTTCGAAATTTGATTTATTCCTCTATATTTGAATTTCTTTTAGTAAAAGATTATAATTTGTATATTATTGCATTCCTCTATCTTACTAAAACGCTATCTAAAGGATGTACCTGATTTAGTATTGCGGTTATGTAAATTGCATAAGCTTTAATTTAAATAATTTATTGTCTATTTATATTTTCAGTCATATTTTTAGTTTAAAAATGGTTTTTAATGTCTTTATAAAACGATTAATTATTGTCTTAGTTATCTTCATCAAAGTCATCGTCGTCGTAAGTGTGATATGTAGGACAACAAAGTCCTTCGGAACCATCGGCTCGGATGCAAAACAGCAACGTTTCAGCAGTCGTCACTTCATGCGGCATTATGCCATGAAAGTCTTTTAGGTCATTTGCCGGAAACCAGGCTTTTTCTTCGTCGTATATTAGGACATAACCAAATAATCTAAAATCAAATAAATATTTATAATTCTTGTTTCAATAAAAATCTCACAGGTGATTACGATATGATTGATTATTTACAAATATTATTAAATTTATCAAGATATAAAAATAACCTTAAGAATATATAAGTTATAATTTAATAATAAAAATACTTTGCATGTAGGTGGGTCGTTTTCAAAAAACACCCGCCTTCCGCTGTCCGTAAGTTTGAATTCCAATAATTTTGTTCGAATCGGATCTTATTGATTTAAAACCAAGTGAAAGCCTAACAAGCCCTTAGTAAACTCTTTTAGAAAATTTTTGTTTAGTTATATCAGAATAATTTTTTTTTTAATTTTGAAACTTGTGAAACACACCTTTTCGCGTGTCCCATTAGCGTTTTATAAAACTTACATACATGTTTTTTTTAAATATTGAATAACTTTGTGTTGCTTTATAGCAATCCATAACATCCTTAGTACAGTAAACAATTTATATATAAAATAATTAATTTTATTCTACTTTTTTTTAAATTTGACTCATGTCCCAGACATTTTTTCCGTTGCGTTACGTCCGTCGCGTTACCGATAGAATATTAAAAAAAACATATATATGGCAACTTTTTGATGTTTGGACCTACACATTACCCAGCTGAATTTATTTATTCAATCAGGAAAAAGATATCGGTTGAAACAGGTGCGGGTAACGCGAATGTAATAATTGTTTGTCCGCTAAGTTACTCAAAAAAATAATAAAAATAAGGTAAGAAAAAGTACTATTTTTCATGTTTATGTTTATTTTAGGGCACTAAAGCTCATTGAGAGTAATTAATGACTGTAATGTCTTATTATTATTTTTTAAATATGGTTTTACAAAACTTTGTCCACTGGCGTTACCGAGTCCACTATGTTACCTTATGGTAACGCAATGGAGTTTAGGGTAACGCAATAGAATTTTTCGACAACAAATAAAAGTGGATATTTACCGTCGCTTTTATTAAAAGTAGTTCATGATTAACCAATTAAAAATTATTTGTAATTACAACTCATGATATAGATTACATCCAAGGAAAAATTCCACGCAATATAAAAGTACTAAAAGGGACCTTCATCAGCTTATAGTCAAAGAAAAAGGGTATCTACAATTTAGAAATCTAAGTTGTTATTCTGCAAGTGAGCACCCCTACAAGGGATTTTGTTTATGCATTACTCTAAAATCGTACCACCCTATGCAGTTTCTTTTTTACATTATCTGATTAAGTCCTTTGTGTTCCGCTGTCCGTTGTGATACCAATGTCTAATTCGTTACTTTTTTAGTTTTTGTTAAAAAAAATTACTTAAAATGATTTTTATAAACTATCACTTGGATTACCGTATTAACGTGTTTATAAATTAGAGTTTAATTCAGTGACTAAAAGAAAATATTAATGGTATTGTTTTTTTAACAAAGAATCGGAATGGTTTCTTTCAAAAAGTAACTTAACGAACATACATATTTTAAAAAAAAGCACACAATTTTTAATAAAAAATAAAATAAAAAATTGGAGTCAAAAGTTTGTGAACTAAGTACATTTTATTTCAAATTATTTTTATAACAACTTTTTTATTGAATTAAATTTTGAATTTCAAATTGGTAACACAGTGGAGATATATAAAGCTAGCTAAACACATTTTTCTGAAAAAAACGTAAAAAAAATTAAAAAGTGCACTGCCTGTCTTAAATGTAAGTAAACAAAACTCTAAACATTTATAAAAATCCAACCAAAAGTCAATTTAAGCAAAAAAATATTCTGATCTTCATTTTCCTGAAAGCGGGTGTTTCTTGAAAATGACCCAGGTATTAAATATAGTTAAAAACGAGTTTTCTTTTACAAGCCATCCACTTAAAATATAAAAGTAATTTTTTATCTGAAATATGAAAACAAAATATATTTTAAAAATTGACCGGGGGCCCCATTTAGCCTGTTTTTTGTTTAAAAATGGAATAACTTAATTTTGTACTAAGTTAATTGTGCTCAAAAACATCTTGTCTCGAAAACATTTTTTAAACTTTTCCACTGCAGTTTTAGTGATTTTTTACATTTTTCAAAGCTTTCAAACATACGAATTTTTGAATTAAAAAAAATAATCCTGATATAAATACTTTGGAAAATTTTATGCTCTACAAGAATCCGCGACGTAAAAAATTTTATCTCAAACGGTTCAAAAGTTATAGTCTTTTTAATGAAAAAGATTTTTTTACCTGTTATTTCAATGGAAAACTTAGAATGCTCACCGACACCTTTTAAAATTGAGCAAAAAATTTTGCCTTGCAGGGAAATTTTTTGCTCGGTATGTAGGTTCATTTTAACCCATAAATTCGATAGGTTAGTTTTTTTGGCTCACCCTAATATACAGGCATTTTAAAAATATTCATATTTCATAATATATATATATATATATATATATATATTATATTATATAAGAAAACGTTATCGTAAATAGAGAACGTAACCGATTCATGTTTTCCAATTATTCTTATAATTGGTGGCGCATGATATAAAGAGCCGCTATAGTCAATTAAATATTCAAATCATTTCATAAAATATGCTTATACACAAAACCATTTGCAATTTTTCCCTAAGGAGGTTTGGGCTCGATATTAGTCGCTATGAGGAAATATTGAATAAAATTAAAGTTGTGTGTCTCCTAAGACATTTACAAAGTTTGAGAAAGATTGACCGTCTGGTTTCCAAGTAAAAAATTATTAAATGGGCTAAGACTACATGGGCTGTAATCGTTTAATATTGCTTAACTGTGTTGTGAATTTTTACACAAATTTATATGCCACTTCTACAGGTATGAGTGCAGTGTGAGAATTCGTGAAACGGATCACTGTTTTCCCGACTTTGGAAAATACAAAAAACAATTATTGGTTTTTGTAGTACTCATTGATAGTAAAATATTTCCAAATTAAAATATATATATATATAAACAATTATAAAAGTTATTTAAAAAAGAGCGTTTTTGACGATTTTTTTTCGAAAATCTCTAATGAAAATAAAGCCTTTTAATAAAATTTTACCTTTATTGAAAATTCTTTAAAACTTATAAAATTTTCATAAAAAATATATTTAAATTAAAAAAAAAGTTATTTTCGTAAAAAAATTATTTATAATAAACAATTTGCATTTTTATAATTTTCTCAATGCTCTTTGTGAAAATCGTGTTAATTTATATTTTCCTTAAAGTCTTTCCAATGAAAAACTAAAAAAAAAAATTGGATTCTTAATTAAACGATTAATGACATTTGATTTTGTCGGCGCGACTTTACTGGCCATGGCGCTCCCGAAGCGACCCGTCCCATTGCGATGCGTACTTTATTATAAATAACTCGGCTATACTATACTATCAAGTACTTGTGATTAAAAAATAATTTTGTAAGGCCATTAAATATATATTATACGTATATATATATACACAGGGTGTATCACGTTCGATGGTAGGTTAGACGTTTATGGAGAATTTATGGAGAACGGCAAAAGATATCGAATTGAAATTTTTATAGCAATTATAATATCATTTAAACTATTTTTCTAAATTATTTTGAACAAAATTACTCTTCCGGTTTTAACAGAAGCGATATCAACTTTGTTATTGATGAATGAATCATCACATTTTTTTTACATTATCATTCCTTATAAAATGGCTATACCTATAGGTTATAAACTTTAGTTTAGTTTTTGAGTTATTAATTTTTTTGTAAAATTCGGTCAGTTTCACCCTCAACAAAAAAGCTTATAATTTTTTTAATATTAGGTTTACTGATATTCGGTTGGATTTATTGGAATCCTGAAGCATTGTTTTAAATATTCCATGTTATTTATTGTAATATTTCTAAAAAGATACTTAATAAAAAAAAATGTGAATGTATACATAGCTATAGCTAACTTAAAACAGCAATAACTTTTTTATTCTCAATGGAACGCCCTGTATATTTTTACATAATTAAATGAAATGAAATAATTGATTGAACTATTCCCGATACCTAAAGTTAATATTTAGAAAGATATTTTACAACTACCGTAATAATACGAAGAAAAACTAATAAAATGTTGCTCATGTGTAGGTATTAATTTGGTATGAATAACAAAACTTTCCCGATATTTATTATTAATAAAATAAAGGAAAATAACTACTCAAAAGAAGTTGATAAAAATATTTATTCTTAATGGATAACCAAATTAAAGGTACAACATACAACAAGTTTCTGCATGTTCTAGCAATAAGTTTTTCATATTGTCCATGAAGAATAAACAAGTTCATCAAAACTTTAATTTAAATAGTGATTTTCCTTAATTTTAACTATTTTATTAACAATTTGTATTAATTTAAAACATTATTTTTATTTAATTAATGAATTTTTAACCTTATTAGTAAATAATAATATACTTTTAATGAAGGTACCGGGCTTTCAATCAAACCGTTTATACACATATAATATGTGCCGGTTTAACAGGGGTTTTTTGGGGACTATAGCACCGGGCGGTAAATATTTTTGGGGCGGTATCGCGTACCGCCCATAATTTAAAAAAAAAATACTTAATCGTTAGAATTTAGAAAAAAAATTATTGCGACACTGCGTCGCGACGCGTCGGCGGATACAACGGATACAAATAAGACAAATTTTGTTAGAGTTAAAGCAGCTTCTCCATCAGAAAAACTTGATTTATTAGAAACGGAATAATTTGAACTTTTTGGATAGACGTTTTGCAAAGGGTTAATGAAACCAATAAAGCAGTCCAAAAACAAAATATGGATTTAAGCACAAATGCTCATCTTTTGTCATTTTTAGTTGAGAACTTTGATTTTTAACGTGATATCATTTTGATCATTACGAGGAAATTAACAGGAAACAAAATTATGCTTAGAAGCGGATAATCATAAGAAAATTACAATTTGAAGAAAATAATTCAGAGGCAAGTTTAAGCAAAAAAGAAACAATGCGAACAATATGTTTTATTTTAATAATTGACAATCTATA